AACAGTTATAGCTCAAAAAATGCACTCCAGAGTATCTCATTATCTGTTATGCTCAACTAGATATTGTTGCGTCTTAGCTTGTTTTCTCACACCTCTGGCGCAAGTGTCAATTTCATTTGTCTTCTTCTTGGTCTTCTTGTTTCCTTCTGTCATTTATCTTGTCAATAGAGATCGCAACTCCCCCTACAAAAAGAAAAGTGTTATTTAAACTCCTCAGTTGAGGTAATTAGAGAAGTTGCCAACTTGTTTGTTTGGAAGCTCACGCTGAAATTAGTTTGTGCCCCAAACCGGGCAGACTTCGTGTGTTGTTGTGTTTTTTCATTTTTTTGTTTTGGGCTATTTAAAGTCGCTTTCGATTTGGCGATTTGGAAGTGTTCCAAATGCCGTGACTGTTTCACTTAGAAATGTGCTAGCTAAAAAAAAAAAAGAAGAGCATTGCGCGTTCCAATTTATGTGAAATGTTGGAAATGTTGCGTTGTTGTTGCTGATGGTTGTCTTTTTCTTGGGGCATTGACTTCCTGCTGAGCATATTTTCATATTTGGCTAAAATTTTGGCAAGCCAGGTGAGTTATGGGCACTACGAGGAAGTTTTCCTTAACGAAAACTTATGCTCTACTTTCTGAAAGTATTTTGAGTATCTATCACAATCACAAACCTAAGAACTTGTGAATCATATGCCATAGAGAGACAACGCATGCAGCATGGCCTCTGGGGCGTAGGCAGTCTCACAAATTCTAGGGGCGATAAATATGTAAAAAACGCGGTCGAGGTCACGTACTGACATTTTCGATAATGAATGTTGTTGCTATTGTTGTTCGGCTAGTTAATTGTTGTTGTTGTTGTCGTTGCTCAACTCTGGGCAGAAAAAATGTCTGAGTCAACGAACCTCGATCTAGAGATACAGATACGTGCCCAGAGTATTCTGTTTTATAAATAGTCGCCGCATTAGAAGATCTTTTGGCCAGACGCACGAATTTAACACTCGAATGTGTTCAACATTTGCATGAATGTGCGCGAATGAGAAGCGAAGCGAGAGTCGCACAAACTTGTGCGTCATGCTGGTCGGCAACAATTGGAGGACAGTGTGTTGCAACTGGGCCTGCAGAAGAAGCAGCAGCAGCAGCAGCAGAGGGCCAACTGCTTGGAATTTATGTGGCCAGGCAGCAGCCCAATTAGCATTTAGCTGGCAAAATGTAGTCAAAACTCATTTCTCATCTGGCGCCAGCTTGAAAAAATTGCTCGAGTTTATGTTTAATGGACGCACACAAATCATAATCTAGCTCAGACGAAACGAGAGTCAGCAACTATTATGTTAAATTATTAAAAGTATGCTTAAAACGTGATTATGCGGTCTGCAGTGGGAAATTGGGCGTATTACGTATACGAGGCGTTGACAAAATTTATGGTTAACTAGGGGAAAAGCTCCTAAGGGCGCCACGTAGTCAAGTCCACAAAAATAAAAATGGAATGAAATCATCTAAGACTCTTCAAACAAGTTCTTGATATAGATCTTCAAATCTTAGAATTTCTAGAAAACAACCAAGAACAATGCCTACTTTAAAGGTCGCTACTCAGCTCTCAGTTCTGTAATAATTCTTAAGAAAAGCAACAGCAAAATAAAAACTTCATTTGCCTACATGTAACTGCTCTGGCAGCTCTGAGCTCAAATTTCAATATTGCGCCCACTGTGCATTCACTTTTCTTCGGCCAATAAATTCAGCTTGCCTTACCCCACGGGGCTCCTCTTCTGGCAACATGTTGCCAACTGGGCGCCGCTGCTGCCTTCTGAGTGCATCAAAGTCTCAATTGCAATCACAACAGAGCCGAACGGAACATCTCAAGTTCAGTCGCAGATTAGTCACGAACTTTGCGCATAAAATTCTGGCTCATATTTATTTTATTCTGCCAGAGTTCTGTAACTGGAACTGCCGCGCAGCTGTGTTGCGGTTCAGGTGGGTGGGTTGAGCGTGTGCAAAATGCATTAAGAGGCTCGCCAAATTGCCAAGACCAAGAGTCGTGCAAAGATTGGGAGTGGTGGCAGCCAGCCACGAGGCAAAAGGCATACACCAGCCTCCATCCACTTTGCGGCACCAACTCGACTGAACTCAACTCAACTAAACTCGACTCTTGCCTGAGTTTAAACAAAGAGAAAGGCGTTGCTCTATGGCAATTGTTGTTTTTGTTGTTTTTTTTCTTCTCGGTTTTTGGGCACTCGCTCTTCAGCTTGTAATGAGCCGCAACTATCGCAAATAAGCAGCCGCTTGGCCACACCCACACCGCCTCCACACACACACTCACACACACACACACACACACACACACACACACACACACACACACACACACACACACACACACACACACACACACACACACACACACACACACACAAAACACAAACACACCTGTCCAAGTCTTGGCTTCTTATTGCCAACTGCTGGGGGCCTGCTCCAAGAACTTGAAACAACTTCATGACTCGCGACTCAACTCTCAACTAATGGCTACGAATTTGGCTGCACACTTTAGAAGCTAAGTTGATTTTTATTTGCCAAGCCTCTAAAATTGAAGACCCCCCCCCCCCCCCCCTTTCCCGCTCTTGGTTGCCCTGCTGCTCCTCTCTTAACGTATCGAACAAGTTCTTTGTCTTTTCGCCGTGCCTCTTGCAGCTCATAATTAGATATAATGATAAAAAAAAATATAAGTATAAAAAATATCATAATACAAACAATTGCTGTCTTAAGTCGCCTGTAATGACGCAGAAAATTATCTAGCGGAAAATTCCAACAAAATAGATTTTCGAAAAGTGCTAGGCCACAGAATGCTGCAGCTCGTTTAAATATTTAGTCGTCGATCAAAATACTGCTGGAAAAGCCATTGAACTGGAAGAGTCTCAGCTGGGTGTGGGCTTAAATGTACAAGAAGTTGCAAGAAGTTAAGAAGGGAGCTGGATGAAAATCTGATAATGATGTAAAATATTTAGGTACAGTAAAAGCTAGGGTTTTATGAGAAGAATCAGAAGATGTGATATAATTTGAAAATAGCTTTAGTGTAGTCAAAACTAGTTGGATTCAAAGGAAGGAAAGGTGTAGAAACATAGTAAGATCTATAAAGATGGTGTACATGTGCCTAGAGGAAGATCTAGTTAAGACAGTGATAGCAGAAAATGCCAAAAACACAAAAAGAAACGAAATATCAAAAAGCTTGATTCTGGGAATTGTCACATGTATTATATATACGAGTTGTAGATCCTTAAGAGCTGTCGATATTGCTATACAAAAATTTGTATGCAGCAAAAAAGGAAAACCGCAAAGCTTTCAATTGCAAGTACGTCAACTTTCCCAGCACGTCCGTTCCGGCTAAGTGAAGTTTTTCTAGTGTCCAATTTTGAGCAAGGAGTTTGTCGAATGGATCAAAACAAGCAGCTGGCGCAAACTTTGCCGAATGTCAAAATGTCAAATGGAAATCATATTCATAAAATCTCACGAATTGTAAACTAAGAGGGACGCGAACATTCAAATCGATAGACGAGCGCCTTTTTGTGACATTTCAATTTGTTTGCAGAGAGGTAAAAAAAAAAAGAAGAAGAAGGTACAAATGAGCAGCCCAACAGGTGAAAATTGAAATTTATGACTTGTGAGCTGGAGAAATGCACAGGATGTGCGACAAACAGTCGCTGCCATAAGTAAGTGTTTGCCAGGTGTCGTTGGGTTATTTTTGTTTTTTATTTCGGCTTGGGCGCTTCATCATATTTATCGATTTCTAATGCCAAAGCTGACAGCTATTGTGGTTGTTGTTGTTGGGGTTGTTGTTGCTGTTTACTTAGCCAACAGATGCCACATGATGCAAGAGTTCGTTGGGGTTAAACTGTTGTATGAAGATCAATGTACGATAACCACCAAGCGAGCTTTGCCCATGGTCATGTGTGTGTGTGTGCGGTTTGGTGGGTGTCATTGTGCGGCATTTGGCGCTGCCACGCCCCCGCCCCATAGCCTCACCTTTGACCGCTGCGTGTCAATTACATTTGTAATTATTTTTATAATCTTTTTTTTTTTTGTTTTTTGTTTTATTATTTTTTGATAAATTGAATATCGCACGCCGCATTCGCAGCCGCTTGAGTGTAGCCAATGCGGAAAGCCTTTTTGGCCAATTCCATTTATCGATTAATCTTCGCAAATACAATGGACGGATGCATGCGCTTATGCAATGTGTGGGATTTGACCTTTGTGTAGCCGGGCGGGCTCGTCTGCCCGACGCCGATGACAAATGAGTGATGAAAATCTAAGACAAAACCATGCTGCCCATAAACGGAAATGGGATTGGGTGTCTTCGGTCCTATGAGAGGAGTTGGCTGCACTGAAAAAAATTATGGGAAAAATACAAATATAACTATGTTCTTGATTTGAGCATGAAGGTTTCTAGAGTTTGGGCAAAGGTTAACTTCAATATTGAAGAGCTCTTCATTAATTCAATCGAAATATAATTTATGCAATTTTTTTATTATACCTTTGATCTAGAATATTCCTAAAAGTTATACAAATATGGCCAGGACTATGGGCAAAATACTTTTGACAAGAACTCAGATATATAAATAAATAAAAGTGCAATGTTTCTTTCATTGCAATGTATTCAATTCAGAGTTTTCAACAATTTCTGCAAATTTCTCTTCTATTTTTTCGCTGCAAAAACTGAAACCCTAGTGTTTATTTCTCTCAGTGCACGAGGTGCAGTCGATTCATTAGAGTTCTGAGAGGCTAAGTCTAGTCGTTTGGTCTGTGCCGCGCCCAACTAAGGCAGCCCACGCGCTTTCGGCAAACGTGGCAACAACTTCATTGGCAAATCGCGTCTAGTCAACTAGTTGGTTAAGTCACGTGTTCAATGCTCGCGCCATATTAAGTATACGACATGTGTGTTCGCTTTCAAATTGATTGTTAAATACGAATTGACACCTTTGCCCATGTCGCCACATGCATACAATGTTTGATTTCTTTCTCTATTTCCAGGTGTTGTACCATGAAATTGTATCACACGCTCGAGTTGTAAGCGCTTGCATTCGCGCCGCCTCCGAAAGGGAACGGGAACGGGAACAATCGCAGTTACAGCAACAACCCGCATCTCTCACCAGCAATTGCTCCAGTGAATCAACCAGCGATTCGGTGACCAAATCGCATAGTCTCAGCAGCGGCTTCGCCTCTGATGCAGCCCACTTGACCACGCCCAGCAGCACAGCGGCAACAACTGGCACTGGAGTCGTCGCAGCTGGCGGCGGCAGCACAGCTCATCCCAGGAAGGGTGAGGGCAATTTGGAGCGACTACGCGATCGGTATCATCTGATCTATTTGAAGGCCTTTGAGCTGCAACTCTGCCTCGACAATTTACTGCGCAAACGCAGCTCCACAGCGGTAAGTCTATAATTCAACTGATTATCTCTAATAATATGTTTGAGTACAAGAAGAAATAAAATATGAGCTGGAGAATTCCATTTACATTTAACTCGAACTGCAAGTGTTTGGCTAGAATTTAGATAAATCAAATTATTCTTTATTTGATCGACTTGAGAATCATTTTGAAATATATATAACAAACGGGATATGAGATGAGTTCATGGCAAATCCACTTGAATGTGCGGAATATGGGTGGAAAACAAAATACTCGCCCCGAGCAATGCCTATAAAACCAGCTATTCTTTTAGATACTTGATAGATTGCAATTGCCCTGATCTAGAATCCGTCAACTTGAACTTCGGCCAGCACGAAAATAAAACTCAATGGGATAGTTCTGCCTTGGTCTGCCTAACTGAAAATTCGCTTTAGCTCAAAGTTTTCCATTTTCTATTTAAAAAAAGAAACAAAAATACGTTGCATGCATTGCATTCTTGGAAAATAGAAATTCAACCACTTTGATGGCTGCTCTTCTCGCATTGTATTGGCGCCGCTTTCCTTTCCTCTGCCGACTGCGGGCTGCCTTTTGTGTCCGCCTCACGCCAATTGCGGGCATTTCTAATTACGAAAGTGTCTCTCCTTCACTGATTTAATTAATTCATTTGGTGAAAATGCCGGCAATGCGTTGGCCAACAAGCCGCAAATGCCTCAAAAGCCATCAACTTGTTGGCCAACAACAACTGTTGACCAACTGATGCACACCCAATGTGCCAGCAGACTCTTCAAACTTCACAACAACAAATGTCTTCAAAATGTACAATTTCTCCAGGCAAATAGTTGCGTGATTGTGGCTAATTGCAGGTTCTTTGAGTTTGAGAATGTGAACGATGGAAAAGCTGCAAAATGCGCTATAAAACTACCTAAAAGAATATCAATGTGGTATATGATATATGATATCATATTCTAGATAACATTTGCAGAATATTTTACATTTTTATCGCATCTCAAATTTTTAAATATTAAATTTAACAGAAGAGAAAGGCTTGAAATTACCTATGCTATATAGAAATTATCTTATGGAAGTTGTCATTTTACTTAATTGGATACAAAGTCTATTCTTTTAAAATCATTTAAATTATTTTCAATAGATGATGTAAAAAAAACTTATAAATTTGCAATGGGAATTTTTAGACTCCAATTGGCAAGCAACTGGGATACAGTTTTTTATTTACAACATTTGATCTTCTTTATAGATTTATTCCATTCAGCCATAAAGTTCCCCCACATTCTGGTTTAGTATATCGCATAACGTGTTCCTTTCTAGCCTTTCCAACATAATTTCTCGATTCTCACTAGCCCACACAAGCACACGCTATCTCCTGCTGTCTCTCACTCCCCCTTGCTCTCTCTCCCTCTCTCTCTCTCTCTGTGTGTCGCTTCATCCCACTCACTTGACAGCTGCTAGTGAAAGTCTTTGCCTATAATCACATTGACCCAGTTAACAGAGCACTCCATCTCTTCCTCTAGCTCCGCCGGCTGCCGAGCTCGTGCTCTGATTTGTGCCACTTTAAACGTTTCCTGGTCAAAGTTCTGAGGCACCCAGCCCGGCCGCCGGCAACGGCTACCATAATATAATTGCAAACGCTTTGTAAGCCGGCCTCCTCACCCCCCGGTAACAACATTTTAATTGTGTATAATTTAGCAACTCCCTCTCTCTCTGTCTCTCTCTGTTGCTCTTAGAGAGACTCTCCGACCCGTGCCGTGCCGTGTTGTCTTGTTTGCACTGGGATGTCGTAATTCATGCAAGGCACGCACTGCAGCAGCTAGCTGACCCACACGGTGGGGCTGCCCTGGCTGTCAAGCCTGCGGCTCTGGAGCAGTTCATGATGCAGCTTTCAACCGCTTCATTTGTGGCTGAGTTTCTCCTGCGAGTGAGAAGAAACAATTTCATTTGCCTGCATTTCGGTTCGCTTGCGCTCTGATGCAACAATTTGCATTGCTGTTTGCCCCAAGCTAGAACAACCCCTTGCCCCGTGCCCTTGCCCCGCTGCATGTGGCATGACCAAATTGCCGCCGCCTATGCAATATGAACACGTTGTTGCCTTATAATTTGCAACACTCTGCTGGCTCCACATTTTGTGCTCCACATTTTGGCGTAGCTAGAAGAAAACAACAACGCCTGTCCATCAAGCGTGTTGCTGCAGCGTCTGGCAACATGTTGCCAGCAACATTTTATGCCTCATTATGGCCAAATGTCAAAATGTGCGCATTAATTGCATTTCTGCCGCTTTTTATGCGCGTCATAAACCTGGCCAAAATGCACACACACATACACATTGAGAAATATGCCTCATATAAAACGGTAAATTAATCGCGGGGCAAGTAAAAGTGAAATTTATGCCGACCCATTGCAACAAACTTGGCCCAGAGGTCGCGCTGGCAACTTCGAACTTGCCACCAGCCGCTGCTGCAGCTGCTGTCGCTGCCAATGGAAAGCGGCTGGAAATGAACATGAAAATAAAAAAAAAAATAAGAAAATAAAAATCAAACTTCCACAACAAATGAAAATAAACCAAATCAAATTTACGACGTGCCCAGCGAGACGATCGCGACTTCTCATAAAATGCATTTTATTTCTGCTGGCCTTTTGTCTTGGCTCCCTACTTCTGTCGCCCTCCCTCCCTGCCCGTCTCTTTTCTCTGCCGGCATCCCTCTCATTTGCTCACGTTCACATCAATTTTGTTGGCCCTCACCACATTCGATAAACAAATGCAGTTTGCAATCGAATTACAATGATTACACTTGATTATTATTATATTTGACTTGTTGTGTGGCTGCTTCCTCCTTCCTTTGGGTCTGCCGATCTCTTGTTTATTCTTGGGAGTAAAAAGAAAAAAAATGCGGCATAATATTTGTTATTATACAGATCTTCAAGCTGCAGGCCAATGCACCTTTTGATTGATTCACCGGCCAGCTTGAAGGCCAAATACCAAGCGAAAGTGTTGAAAGAAATTCACATCTGGCAACATTTGTTTGTTAAACTTGAGTTGTGGGAAATATGATCTTGGCTGCATGAGCCAAACAGGAATGCCAAGAATTCTTCTCTCCTTTATTTCTGCTATATATAAGGCAATAATGTGAGCAAATACACACAGAAATTTGACTAAGAGCTCAAACTGTTAAGAATGATTAAAATATGAGAAGAATTCTTTTTTCTGTACACCTCATATCGTCCCCTAATTAAGCCAAGGAATATGTCAGCCCTTTGTACAGTAATATGTAAAGAGATTTTTGTCTTAAGCAAATTTCATAAAATTTCTGGCTTTCAGAGTCTTATATTAATCAATTAATGCTTGCCAACCTTGAGGCACTTAACAACACTCAACCAAACAATCTTCTTGCGCGTCAAGACGCATTTATCAACACTCATCGAGCGATGTGAAGCTAATTGGATTTCCAGTCGTGTACAAATCGAACAGCCAATTAACGTCGATCAAAATAAAGTTTACAATTTATGAATTTAATTGCCGCTCGTCAAATATTTAAATGTTGCGGCACATCAATCAAAGCCCAAAAAACATAAATCAAAAGTAACGAACGAGCGTCGCCTAAAATCACCAAAAACTCGGCAGCAGCTAGCCGAAAAAAAAAGAAATCCAAAAATAAATAAACCGAATGCAAATTAATGTTGGCCAAATTGCATATATTGTTTAAATACCCTGTGCCCGATTTAAATGGGTAAAACAGGGTATATAGAGCTCTTCTTGTACCAAATCGATAAATATCGATCGATATTCAAACCCGCTTTTTTTAGACTTCACTTGAATTAAATTAAACAAATTGGATATGTAGACCGTATTTGCAGACTTTGAAACTCCTCGTTCAGCCTTACTCAAATCGATAAATATCGATTTTGATGCAGCTTTGTTTTAAATAAAACTCAAATAAGAGCAAGAATCCAAGATAGCGTAGATTAGAGCCAACATTGGCTCTCTTCATTTCTTCTGAAATCGATAAATATCGATTTTTATTTCCGCTTTATTGTAAAACCAATAAATATCGATTGCCAAGCCAATTTTTGTTGGACTTAATGCTGAGGCAACCAATAGGGTGTGTAATAGTTGATATAGCAACAAACCGAAAGCTGAATACAGGGTATAAACGAGTCTAGTACCATGAACTAGTTTATTTCTCATTCCTTTCATAAATCGAACGAACAAAACGAGGCACGAAAATGAACGAATGCGCTTTGAATAATAATTGACGGGCCAACATATGTCTGTCTGGGCGATTGTTGATTTTGTTGTTGTTGTACGCGATTCGTGTTGCGAATCGGAACTGCATTTGCATGTTGAACAACGACATTTACAAATTGTGACTATTTAATTGTGCGGTGTGTGTGTGTGTGTGTGTGTGTGTGTGCTGCCCCGGAAGATGCGAGTGCTGCAAAAATTAAATCACAATAATTATGTAAATTTTGTTGTTGTCTTCAACCTGTGTGCGGGGCGTGCCACCCACAACAGCAACACGGAAGCTGCACCACTAATGGCCGTTGCATGCCACACACCCATACATATACACACACATATATATATATGTATATTTATTTACATGCCACAGCAAAGCCAAACAATGGCCGAATAAAAAAAAGCTTAAGTTTCACTTTCTGACGCGCGTTGCAAGGCCGTTTAAACGACAGGCAGCTGGCGCAGTTCGGGCCAATATAATTACCGCCTCTCGGTCTCACTTTCGTTTGGGGCCTGCTGGACAGCAGCACGGTAATTAGCCGCTGGCCAGCCAACAACAACAACAGCACTTAGCAAAATGCTTCGTGTAATTGGAAGCTTGACCAAAAACGATCGTCGTGCGGTTTAGCAGGCAAATTGGGTGGGTTTTTTGTATGAAATTGTTTTATAATGTGGCCACATCCCAAACCCGCAAACAACAGCGCACAATGCAACCATCAGGAGGCAGGCAGCAGCTGCTGCTGCTCTGACCGTTAGTTGATCTACTTTTTGGTG